CCATTGACAGCATCCAAAAATACAGCCCCAAAGAGGACCAAATCTCCAGATAAATCAGTTTTTATTCTGTATAAAAGTTTTACACAGAGAGCTCATAAGGTCAGTTCTCTTTATCAATGAAACATAGAGATGAACAGTGTTTGCTCCTCTCTCCCTAGGTAACAATTATTCTTTGAAGGTATGTCTACACTTCCACCCTCTTTTGACAGAGGGATGCAAATACAGCTGAGAGAAATTGAAAATGAAGTGCGAATTTGAATTTCCCACACTTCATTTGCATATTTGCGTTATGGTGCTATTTCGAAATAACAAACGCTGTGTAGACGCAGTTATTTCAAAAGAAAACCTTCTGAAATAACCTTTATTCCTCCTACAATGAGGTTTACCAGTTATTTTGGAAGAAAGGTTTTCTTTTGAAATAACCGTGCCTATACAGCGTTTGCTATTTCGAAATAGCACCATAATGCGAGTATGCAAATGAAGTGCGGGAAATTCAAATCCGCGCTTCCTTTGCAATTTTGCTCAGCTGCATTTGCATCCCTCTCTTGAAAGAGGGTGCAAGTGTAGACATACCCTGAGAGATGTCCCTGTGGGTACACCACATCAGGTTGGTGTGCTGCCTCCGAGTCTTTTGAGCGGAGTTTTCAGAGCAGTGTCCCTAGGGCTGTGCATATGTGCGTCCGCAGCTGCATGCTCCTACTTTGCTGGCGTTGTGCATACGTGATCCCCCTCCCCCACAATTCCTTCTCTACCGCCTCCAGCCAGATGGAGCTTGGCAGTGTTCCTTACCTCATCCTGAGTGTTACATAAGTAATCCCCTTTTCAACCTGTTTTTATTTCCCCAGTTAGTTAGTTTAGCAGTTTATAGTTTGTAGTTATTGAAAAAAGAGGGTTTTTTTTCCCCTCCCTGTTAATCCCTTCTGTTAGTTAGAAGCTCACCGGGCTTTAAGTGCAGTTCCTCATGCAAATACCCCATACTGGTGTCTGACGGATACACAAAATGTGTCCAATGCCTTGGCAAGGCACATGTTTCCCAAAAGTGCCTGCATTGTGTGAAGTTAAAATCCAGAACTGAGACTGAGACTTGTAACTCAAACTCATCCTCCTTGAGAAATCTTTAAGACCAGCTTCCGATCCAGGCCAGCAGTCTGAAAACACAGACAAAAAGCCAGCGAAAAAGTGAGCTTCTACTCTGCCTCAGGAGGCCTCTGCACTGAAATGGCCTTCACCAACACATTCAGTGACAAGAGGCACAGTGGCACTATGCCTGAGCACTCATGACTCAATGGGCATCTTTGGCACAACAATCAAAGTGGATAGTTCAAAACCCCATTCCGAGGCCTCAGGCTTTGTTGACTGCCTCTGCTGCTGCAGCACCATCCAGCACTGAGAACATTTTTACAGCACTGCAAAAAACCTTGGTGCCAACTTTGATAATCTGCACGAATACTGGCACCACAGCGCGACACAGGCACCAACCACATTGCCTGGCTGATCGGTACCAAGACACCATCTGGCAGATAGCAGATAGCATCGGTGCAGCCAACCACAGCACTGTTGATGCCAGCACAGCAATATATGCAACATAGGGACTTTTGGTTTCCTCCACTTTTAATTCACCTTTCCTCGGTATCAACGTTTCTCCTGGTACACAGGTACCACAATCAATTTTATCACTGGAAAGTTTTTCCACTGACTCTGAAGAGGACGTGAATGTAGTTTTCTCTCCAAATAATTCTCCCCCCACTGACAAATCCATCTACTCTGCCAGAACCCATCCATCGCATTCCAGGCATAGAAGCATGCCATGGTACAATAACCGCTGGATGCTACCCCTCATGCCATACCTGCAGGAGCAGTACTGGAGCCCCTGTCAATCTTGACCCAGACACCACTACATTCGGAAACACCATAGTGTACTGCAACATTCCCCACGACTGCAGTCCCCGTCTCCCCAGCGTCAGCAAGCCCTAAAAGGGGACCACTGTAACCTAACATCTTGCCGGACACAAACGAATCCTCGTCACCAGATGAAGAAGTCTTTCCTCCTTCTCTGACTTCTGCAGATAATTTTGCACATTTTCAGGACCTTTTTAAATGAGCATCTGCAGAGCTGAACGTGCCCCTCCAAGAGGTCAACGAAACCAAAATGAGCTGACGGATGTTCTGCCTTCTTTGACATCTTCTAAAGTAGCACTACCTATTAATCCAGCCATCATGGCAAAGACGATTTGGCAAACTCCAGCAACAGCAATGCCTACTTGTAAGAAGGCTAACAAAAAATATTAGGTTCCACCCAAGAGCTGTGAGTTTACTCGCCCTGTGCCTAATTCGTTGGTGGTAGAAGCTGCATACCAAAAGAACAAGCATCAGCATTTCAGATTCACACCATTGGAATGCGACAGCAAGAGGCTCGATTTGTTTGAATGCGAAGTATACATGTGCTCAACATTGCAATTCTGAATGGCCAATTATGCTGCTCTAAATAAATACAACTATATTTCGGACATTCTGGAGGCAAAAAAACAACAGTTCAGAGCCATAATTACTAAGGGCCCTACAGGCTCCACTAGACATGGCCAACACAGCCGCACGGTCTACTGCAACTGTGGTGGTAATGAGGAGAGCCTTCTGGTTTAATTCCGCTTCTTTTCCCAGGGAAATGCAGTCTACCATCAAAGATTTCCTATTCGGCAGTCAGAAGCTCTTTACAGCCAACACGAATGACATCGTCCACTCAATGAAAGATCTTTCACAAGCTAGGCAGCCTCCTAGCCTGGGCCCAATCCTTCTCTCTGTTCAGTCTTAGATGTTTTCAGCAGGCATTTTGAGTGGTAAGTTGGGGTCCACTAGTATCTGGACACCCCTATTGTTTTCCCCCTTTTTATATCCCTTTTACCAAAGGTGGGAATGATTTGTGTTCAGTTCATATTTTTTCTCACCTTGAATGGAAAAGTGCCAGATCCAAAATGGATTCCAACATCAGTTGGCCTGACCAACCACCATTTGGTATTACAGGAAAAACTAACCCATTTATAGATCATTGTCTTGAATGCTGGTCCATTATGTTCCTGGAGTATCAGTAATGGCTCTCATTAGCACATTTAGAATTATAAACAGATCCACAGTTCATATTTCTAACTTCACATGCTAGAGTGCTACATGCACAAAAATAGAATATACACATTCAGCAGATTAAAAATGTCTCAAGATGAATTTTGCTTAATACGTCTTTAAGTTATATATAATCATATTCATAAGATAATTTTCATGAAGCATGGCAGAGGCCATGAGTCATATTCAATCATTTTATGTTAAAACTTGGAAGCTTTTAAGATTAAGTAAATTTGTCAGTTTTTCAACCCTATTAAAATAAAAAAATGACATGGGAGACTGTATAATTCCTTTGTGACTTTGTGTATCATTTTCAGTAGTGTCCCTGTAATTTGTGTCGGTGCAACTGGCAAAGCAATTCATATGAGAACTTAGATTTACATTTGTGTGTTAGCTCTAGAAGTCTAAAGCCTCTGTATCAATATACCATGCAGCTAGTAGAAGAGAACCAAAGTCAGTTGCCCTAAACCACAAGAGAATGCCTATTGATTCTTAAGTTTTTATTGATATAAAACCATCCATCTCAAACCTGATGATTGCATGTAGTAGTTGCACCTAATGGCTTCAGTCAGGCCTGGCCACCTTGTGCTAGGCACTGTACAAACATGAAAAATGACAGTCCCTACTAGGGATCAACTATCTGATAAGCTTAAGTGAAAGCTTATTGGATAGTCGACTAGTCCCTTGACTAATTGTCCCCCTCCAGCCATAGAGGCAGAAAGGGGGGGAGCAGGAGCCGGTGCTGGGGGGGAGGTGGCTTAAAAGCTGTCTTTTTTCCCTCATTACTGCCCGAGGCAGGGAAGGCAGGGAGTAGCGGGGACTGGGCATGAGCCAGGAGTCAGTTGAATCTTAAGTGAAAGCTTATTGGATAGTCGACTAGTCCCTTGACTAATTGTCCCCCTCCAGCCATAGAGGCAGAAAGGGGGGGAGCAGGAGCCGGTGCTGGGGGGGAGGTGGCTTAAAAGCTGTCTTTTTTCCCTCATTACTGCCCGAGGCAGGGAAGGCAGGGAGTAGCGGGGACTGGGCATGAGCCAGGAGTCAGTTGAATGTCGGCTTGCTGGGAATCAGCTGTCCCGGCTCACACCGGGTTCTCCCTGCTACTGGCTCTTAATACATTTAAAAGGCAGAGCTGCAGCTGGGTTAACTCCCATTCTGGGAGCTAACCCTGCCGCAGCTCCCCTGCTTATTGACTAATTGATGGAAAATCCATTGATTAGTTGATTAAACTAAATTTAACATTCCTAGTTCCTACCCAAAAGAATTTATAATCTAAAAGACAAGATATAATCTATGGACAAGGCAAACAAATGGGGTTGGAGATATGAGTGGATGAGGATGGATTAACAAAAAATAGCCATTTGAACAATATGCAAAGATTAGACTTTTGTATGTCCATATAACTGCTAGCATATTAGGAAGCCCAATAAAGATTATTAGGCTTCATTGGTCTATTGTAAACTAAATTATTACTTAATAAAATATCTTGAAGATGTAGGATGATGTAATTCAAGTGTGTGATGTGAGCATTAGGAATTCTTCAGTTCTGTTCTGGCTCTGCTGTAGGCTTCCTCTTTAGTTTCCTGGGCAAAGTTCAGGCTGTCAGTGTTTGTATTGCCTTACTATAGGAGTATTGAATCTTAAATCATTATTCATAAACTGCTTTGAGATTCCCAAATGGAAGGAATTATAGAAATGCAAAGGATTAATATTTTGTTATGATCACCATAATATTTTAAAGAGACTTTGTTTATAAAACAGATTAATTCAGCTAAATTAAAAAGATGGTCAGTTGTAGCACAGTTGGTTCATTGATGGAATAGCAGCCAGTGTAACCTATGCCATCAACACTAATATTACGTTAATCCTTTTAAAAAAAACAAATCTAGTGAAGAAGAGGAGAAACTGGCATAGACATGACTACACAGAGTTTGATGATGGTACCAAACCAGTCCAAGCTGGAACACGAACTTTTGTTAAACAGCTACGAGCTCGCTCATTCCCAAGGTATGGAAATTTCCTTAGAACTCAGATCACAAAAAGGAGGAAAACCTTGGCTATTAATCATGTCTAACAGGCCTTCCTAACATGCCTCCAGAACCCTTTGCCCTCTCTCCAAAACCCTCCTCCATATGAAATCTTTTTTCATGTCTTCCGGTGTTTCATATGCATATGTTTATCTTCAAGGCAAATAGCATCCACCAAGCAAATTACTACACATGGATGTACTTTCTGTGGCGTCTGTCACTAGCACCCACATTGTTAGCTGTGTTGCCTCTTCAGCATTTTCCACTCATCTGATGCAAGAAACAAGAGACTCAGAAATTACTTCCCATTTTCTCTATAGTAGACCATGAACATTGACTCATTGGTTTATTTAGTCCCAGATGCTTCAGAAGAAGGTGAAGGAGCTGCATAGCTATGTAGTAATGTGTCCATAAAAGCAATTTTCCCCTTTATTCCAGCAGTTAAGGATTGACTTACTCTGTCTAAAGCATGATGACTTATATTCCTTTTAAAAGAAAATGCTTTTTATTCTAATATACCAGTCTGTTGTCATTATCCACATAAGTGACTTTTTTAAATCCTCCTCAGTTCTTTGCTTCAATGACATTAATTGGCAGAGTTCCCCAGATTAGACATCAATTGGTTTTAAATTTGTTGTCTTTTGGTTTGATTAAATGTAACCAGCAGAATTGCTTTCACCTTGAGTGCTTAATTATATACAATTGTATCCACTTATTTTAATTTGATTTATATTAGCTATATAACTCCATGGATTTTTATATATAAAAATAAGTCTCTAAGGTGCTACAGGACTACTCCTTTTTTGTGTGTGGTTAATTTACAGGCTAACACAGCTACCCCTCTGAGTATCTCAGATGTTTTCTAGAAATCTAACAAAGCTTTTGTTAACTTCTTTCAAAACTGGTGTACTGTTTTTTTTTCAGTGCTAATATTTTGATTTCCCCCTCCACCCAGTGCTGACGAAATCATTTTGAAAATGCATGGCAGCCAGCTGACACAAAGGTACCTGGAAAAACATGGGTTTGATGTCCCTATTATGGTTCCTAAATTAGATGGTCTAGGACTCAGACTCCCTCCCCCTACTTTTTCCGTGTTGGATGTGGAACGCTATGTTGGTAAGTGATTTCCTGGAATACATGTAAATGCTTCAGCATAGAGTGAATTAAATTCAATAAATATTTGCACGTTTTCAAAAGCTTAAGGATACTATATGCCTAACCTAAGTTGAACAGTTCTTACCAGAAGTCTAGCAAGGGTAAATTTGATCTACCAATTTGGGTTTTGTTCATGGGTATACATGTGACAATTGTATGCCCATAGCCCTCAACATTCACTCTTGTCTACCTGTGGCACAAGCTGTGAAAAAGTGTGCTAAATGATTGAAATATTAAACAGCTGTATTTTGTTCTGCAGCATACCATAAGAAACAGATTGTAGTAGTCTGAGGATGTTTTCTCACACTGTGAATCAGATAAGTTAGTTTTGCACTCGGCAGTCTAATGATGGGGAGTCTTTATTGCAGATTTGAAAAATGGTTTGTAACACAATGAGAATGTCTTTTAAAGGATTTTACACTTAAAAAACATCTGTTACTGATGGTGCATTGCAAAACAAAACTTTTGCTTATGTTGTCCTGTGTTTGCCTATGGCATCCCTACTCAGGGTTTCTGGGATGTTCGTGATCCTTGTCTGGACTTCTTGTGTAGTTTGAGGAAGAGGAGGGATGTATTTAGGAAGAAAGGGCTGCTACCTTCACAGCTGCCCCCAAATATAAAAGTTAATACATTGAGGTTATAGTGCTGCTTGGTTTCAGGGACTTCCAACTGCTGTATCTTTGGGACTCCTTGCTCCTCTGCCCTGGCCTCTCTGAGGAGTAGACAGTAGATTTCAGACAGAAGAGAGCTGCACTGCAGAAATATTCACAGTAGGGGCACAAGGACAGAAGGAGACTGGCAGCTCAGGGCCAGATCAATTCCCTCCTGCCTCACCTCATCTATATCTGTAAATTGTTGGCTCTCCAGTCTCTGATCCTTTTCCTTTATAAGCTTTTTTTCTGCTCCTTGGAGGAGAAATTCAGGGAGTACTGTAGCTTCAGTGGGAGCATTTTGTATTCTGTCAGACTTTCTGGGCAGTCTCTGACCACCTCTTGACCACCTGAATATGTATCTCAGTGGGGCTATAACATTAAGCCAGCTGTAATGTGGACTGTACAGTTGAGAATTGTGTGTGCTTTGCATTAACTCTTGTAGACTTTTGGTGGCATATTTAAATGCAATATAAACAGCACTTTTGTGCTTATCACTGATTTTTGGACTGGGCTTTGGAATACACAATATGCATTATATTGAATGACCCGCCTATATACTCCATTCCCTTACTGATGCTCGGAAGAATAGCTGGTAATAATCACCCTGCTTTCACAAGGTGAATTCACTTTAGGTGACTGTGCATCTCTGCACCTATGATCAGAGAATTTCAATGGCAGTGGCTTTTGGGATCTCTCACTCGCTCTTCCCATCTTGTGCCACTCTTGGTAGCTACATAGCACTATATGGATAAACAGCCCTCATTTTCTTCTCATTCATCCTTGAGCTGAGAGCCGGGGCAGCATCTCTTTGATGTGGACATCATGCCATCCACCAGTGCCAGTTTTGCTGCAATAGCCTTATTGGGCTTCATGGGCTGCATACAGGCAACAGTATTTTAGGACTTCTAGCACTTGCAAGGAGAGACTGAGATGTACTCCATCCTCAGTAGGTGGACCTTCTGAGCCTCCAGAGGAGACTTTGGAAGAGCAGGAGGAGATATCTGCTAAGACCTGCCTGCAATTATTAGATCATGTGGCAGCAACCATATTAGTTGTATGACATGCCAAGCTACTTATATGTTGTCTTCATGGCTGTCTCAAGACAATATAGGCACTGCACAGATATAGGTTGAACAAGTGTCTCAATGACAATCAGAAATTCTCTACACAGCGGACTTGAGCTCACAAAATGTGTTGGAGTTTCCCTTAAGCCACTCCATCAATTATATTTACAGTGGCCACATATCTGTTAGATTGGGGAGCACACTTGCATAACCACACAGGGAACCACTCGCCATTGACGGTCTGAGACAACATTACACATCAAACTTTGGGGAACTCCGAGCAGTCCTCAATGCATGCTCACTCTTTTTTATCTCTGATTAAGAACAAGACCATAAGAAGGTACCAATATTAAAAACATACAAGCAATATTGTCTATAAACCATCAAGGAGGGCCAAGGTCACTCTCCCATATTCTCAGCCTTTTGGTGCAAAGGAACTGGTGCGTCCATTACAACATCAACATATTAGCTACCTGTTTACTAGGATGTCATAACACTGCAGAACTATAAGGCTACATCTACACTGGCATCCCTTTCCGGAAAAGGGATGCTAATGAGACGAGTCGGAATTGCAAATCCGCGTGGGATTTAAATATCCCCCGCGGCATTTGCATTTACATGGCTGCTGCTTTTTTCCGGCTCTTGGGGATAAGCCGGAGAAAAGTGCCAGTCTACACGCGATTCTCCGGAAAATAAGCCCTTTTCCGGAGGATTTCTTATTCCTACTTTCAAGAATAAGAAATCCTCCGGAAAAGGGCTTATTTTCCGGAGAATCGCGTGTAGACTGGCACTTTTCTCCGGCTTATCCCCAAGCTGGAAAAAAGCGGCAGCCATGTAAATGCAAATGCCGCGGGGGATGTTTAAATCCCCCCGCGGATTTGCAATTCCGAAGTGTCTCATTAGCATCCCTTTTCTGAAAAGGGATGCCAATGTAGACACAGCCTAACAGTAACAGATAGACTTTGAATATCTTTTTCATTCTCCACTATTTTCTGTTTAATGGCCCTTCACAAAGCTATATTATGCTTACTCTTTTTTGGGTTGAGGATCATTGGACAGCACTGCCTTTAAGAGTCAACATATTCTGTAATCTAATGAAGAGGGGAGGCAGTGTTGGTTGTTAAATAAGTCTCTTTATTTACTGACTCTCTGAAAATAGATATTTCCTTACTTACACTGTTCCATGATGTATCACTACAGATACTCAGAAGAAAATCCATAGACATAGGACCAAATCCTAAAGCGAATTAAGTATGTGCCTAGCTTTGAGCATGCATGAATTCCATTGTGGTTACTCCATGCTTAGTTATTCCTGTAGAATCATAGGGCTGGAAGAGACCTCAGGAGGCTGAGCCCCGATTAAACGTTTGTAGGATCCAAGCTATAAGCTTTGTTATTACTTGTCAAAAATTTGCAGTGCACGTTGAAGTAAGTGTTCAGATATTGTGGTGATGACCACTATTGAAATATGCAAAAATGTATTTTTGATAACTTCCTCTGATTTGTTCTTCCTTTTGGTGAAAGAAGCCACAAAGCCAAGTGTATGAACTAGTCATAATCATGTTGGGATCTTCCTTTTTCTTTTTGTTAACCACAGAAGTAGTGACTTAAGAATATTACTGAAACTAATCTAAAATAAAGTAAAGGTAATAAGTTATAGCTAAGATCTTGCTTTATTCTTGTACTTTTGTGTTCTGGGGAGGGTAGGATAATAGTGAAGTTTATTTGTGTTGAAATTGATTGTCATATCTTGCAGACAATATTAAACATATGTTAAAATGTTAATTTTCTTGTTTTTACAGGCGGTGACAAAGTGATAGATGTAATTGATGTGGCAAGGCAGGCAGACAGTAAAATGAAGCTTCATAATTATATTAAGTATTTCATGAATCCTGATCGACCAAAAGTATTAAATGTGATCAGTCTGGAGTTTTCAGACACCAAGTGAGTAAATGACTTTGAGACAACTTGACTTGAACTCCTTTGAAGTAGAAAATGTGGTTTCTCTCCTCACTTCCTAAAACAAAGAATAAATGTAGAAATCTAAGTAGATAATACTCCAAAACTGTGTCTAGTAGAAAGATCTGAGTTGGGATTTGGGGACTATATGGAATCCTATAGAAATACAATTTTATGGTTATTTAAGAAAGGTAAATATTGAAAGATGTCTCTCCTCATTACTTGTACTTACTTCATCATTTACTTACTTTTTAAGGATGTCTGAATTGGTGGAAGTCCCAGACATTGCTACAAAGCTTTCATGGGTGGAAAACTACTGGCCAGATGACTCTGTCTTCCCAAAACCTTTTGTTCAGAAATATTGTTTGATGGGAGTTCAGGACAGCTACACTGATTTCCATATTGATTTTGGGGGCACATCAGTCTGGTACCATGTTCTGTGGGTAAGAAAGTTCTTGCTTTCTGAATGCTTGAAAACTATTCTGTCCTGTGTGTATCTTTTTGCCACAAAAGAAACCTGTGTTCAAGGACTTCCTTTCATATTTTGAATGAAACAATTAGTTTGAAAAGGGGATAGAGGAGGATTGACTGTGCACTGTCTTTCAGTATTCCGTACATGTTTATCTGTAGAAAGAAAATGCCAGTCTCTGAGCTTTCTAGCAGACAGGTGGATGCTATACTGAGCATTTTGTAGGAGAAAATAAATAAACTGTTCTCTAACACTAGCTCACACTGCTTTCTGAGTTGCAGCAACCATGTAGCTCAGGATGACTGGACACGATTTTGATCTGAATTAATAAATTGTTCCTTAAAGTGACACTTTCCTGGTCCCCAAATTCCAAAAGTTTAGAATGGACTACATAGTTGCTTCTGGTAGACCAACATGTGAAATATGAGGGCTGGAAAACCTAGGGAGCTCACATGGAAGTACGGTATATTACGATTAGATAACAGAGCTTTCCTAACAAAATACCGTTCACATAAAAAAATTAAGAAGTTGTAACTTATCTCATATGGGACACCTTTTTGTGTACAGGGTGAGAAGATCTTCTACTTGATCAAACCTACTGATGAAAACCTGGCTCGCTATGAATCTTGGAGTTCCTCTGTCACTCAAAGTGAAGTCTATTTTGGGGATAAAATAGATAAATGTTACAAATGTGTGGTGAAACAAGGACATACCTTATTTGTTCCTACAGGTAAGATTTTACCTCTACCCAGCCCCTGCAGTTTGCATGCTTCATTGTATCACTAGTAAATTCCTGATACCAAAACATCTTGCTTAAATTGTAACTTTTAGAAATATCCTGAAGTTTGAAGAAGAGAATGTCTTAAAAATATCAGCAGTGTATCAGCCTTTAAAATGTTTAACTACAGGTTGAAACTCTAAACGAGGACTCTCTTGTATGGCAACATTTGTGGTCCACTGGACCATGGGTGTTGGTGAACTAGAGTCTCAGTGGAGGACCCAGAGGCAGGAGCCCAGCAGGAACTGGGAGCCCAGCTGGGCTGTCTGCAGGGGGTCCCAGTGGCCTGGAGCCCTGCTGTGGGAGTCTGGCTGAGTTGACTGCAGGATAGCTGGAGCACCAACGGGCTCTGGTGGGGTAGCAGTCTGCTCTGGTAGGGCTAGCAGCCCCAGCGACAGGGTAGCAGTCAGCCACAGTGGGACTGGGAACCCTGCTGGTGGAGCAGCAATCAGCCATGGTAGGACTGGAGGGGCTGGGAGCGCTGGTGGTGGGGCTGTGGTCAGCCATGGTGGGGCTGGGAGCCCAGCATTGCAGCGGGCTATCTGCAGTGCAGCAGGGTTGGTGGCAGGGGGAGCCACTGGGCTGGGGAGGCAGAAATAACCTCTCCTGGTCTGGCAAAATCCCTTGTTTGGGACCAGTCAGGTCCCGAGGGAGCCAGATGTGGGAGGTTTAACCTGTAGTTGGAAAGTTTCTTAAGAAATTGTTCTGGGTTTTTGTTACTTGATTCACAGTAGTAACATTTTAAGGAGACAAGGACAAGATTAGAGTTTGATAACCAGGGCCAGGTTTATTATTGTGGGGCCTAGAGCTACCAGATTTTATAACACTCCCTAGGCTCTGTGGTGGGGCCAAAATTAGGGAATCAATGTGCAGGAGGGGGCTGCAGGTTGAGGTAGAAAGGTGGATGCAGTGCAGGAGTAGGTGATGGCACTGACTGGGGTGCAGGCTCCAGGGTGTGGCTGGAGATAAGGGGTTTGGGGTGAAGGGTGTGTCCAGGGTGGGTTTGATGTGATTGGAATGAAAGAGGGTGCCTGGGGCAAGACATTGAGGTGGGGGTGTGAGATCTCAGAGGAAGATAGGATGTAGGAGAGAATTGGGATAGGGGGTTGAGGTGTGGGCACTTACCAGGGGCAGCTCCCATTTAGTGAATGGGGGGAATAGGTGGCTCCACACAGCCTGTGGTCTCTTGTAGGCTCCACTCCCTGCAACTCTCATTGGCCAGAAATTGTGGCCAATGGGAGCTATGGGGCTGGAGTCTTCAGGCAAGGGCAATGCTCAAACAGAGCTTCCTGGAGCAGCGCTCATCATTGTGATGTGGCTCTGGGGGACATAGAGGGGCCCTGGGCTACAGCCCCTAAAGTACCTTTCTTAATCCTGCCCTGTTAATTTCTCAGCATGAATAGAGATTTTTCCAGCTGTTTCTGCAGCAAAACATTGAAAACCTATTTCCTCTTATGTTGCAGCCAGTCACTTCATGCAACATTTTGGCCATTTCTGTGTCTCTGGCCAGATTACTTGTTGGACAACCTCCAAATTACATTAGCAGATGAGTTGTAATTCATATTTAATCTTGTATTTGGACAAGTACTTTTTAATGGGTATGCTCTACTCCGTCACTTAAACATAGTTGAACAGCCATTCTTGCATAAGGCGCAAATAACAGATATGAATGTCAAAGACTGAAATTAGAAGTTGCTAACAGATAAGTACTTGCGGAAATTAAATAGGAAGTCTAGGAATAGTTGACTGAACTTCACTGAATTAATTCTACCAGTAGTATACATCTTGAATTAACTAATTTTTGGGAGGGGCGGGAAGAGGAAGATGAGTTTATGCTATTTTCCAGAATTAAATTTGATTAAATCTGTTGAAGGCAAACTTAAACTACATCCTATTTTAAACAAGAATCTAATAGATACAGGCAGTTCCCGGGTTACATGGATCCGACTTACATCGGATCCCTACTTACAAACGGGGTGAGGCAACCCCGCACTAGCTGCTTCCCCCCAGCAGACCAGGGAGACGTGGAGCGGGTTTTCTCAGCAGACACCTCAGCTTGAGAATAAAGGACTGAGGGAAGTGAGGTATGGGAGAATAAAACTGAGCTCTGGAGAAATGTTTGGCTAGAGTTTCCCCTACAATATGTACCAGTTCCGACTTACATAGAAATTCAACTTAAGAACAAACCTACAGTCCCCATCTTGTACGTAACCCGGGGACTGCCTGTATATGCTTTTATGTGCTTATTTAAAGTTCAGTAATAGCTAGGTAGAGATGAACGGTATTATTGGCCTGTGCTGTTCATATTAAATTGTGTTATAAGAACAGGCTTCCAATTACTTAGCAAATTAGTATTGTAAGAATAATTACCAGTCTAATTTTATTTTGATCATAGTTATATTGAGCTATTATATAATGGATACCATTTAGGATAATTAGTGGAAACATCTTCTAATTCTTATCTGAGTAACTCAGATAGGGCTATAATTACTTGTAAATATTTGTTTATAAGATTACAATGAACTGAAAAATAAGAGATTTTTTTTATTTTAATTACTTTGTTCATAGTCTGTTTCACTAAAGTCAATTTCCTTGGGTTTATGGGTTTTTCACATAGCAAATGGGGAGAGGGGAGGAGAGAGGAGACAGGAGGGGAGAACATTTTGTTTTTAATAAGAATGTGATTTTAATACCAAAAAGGCCTTGTACAAGTAGAACATATGTAACTACCAGTAATTAACTCCCCTCCTGCCCAAACACAAATCTAGATGTCAGATTTCATAATAGGGTGTAATAGTGTAGTCGATTAACCGATAAGCAAAAGTTTATAGGTTAATGTATTAAAATTAACTAAAACTACACACATTTCCCCCACCCCATCTTCTAGTACCTTTTTTTTTTTTTAAGCAGGCTGGCCAGCAGCCCAGCTCAGTCCTGGCTTGTGCTGGGTCCAGGACTTACCCCTGATGCATCTCTGCATTTAAAGTGTATTAGGAGCCAGGCGGGTAGGCATCCTGGTTCAGTTCAGGCTTGTGCTAGGTCCAGGAGCTGAGCCCCCTCAGAGAGAGGCTGCTGCCGCCCTGCGCTGCTGCCTCTGTACCATGCAGTTGGTCTGCAAGGAGAGCTGGCTTTTAAACTGGCTCCCCTCATGGATCAGCTCCCACCTGGCACTCCACACTGCTGCCTCTGATACAGAGGCAGCAGTGTGGTGTGGGGCTGGAATGCACTAGCTGCCAGCCCCACTCTGGGACTATAGAATAGAATAGTTGAGTAACCGATAAGAATTCATGAGGTTAATTGACTATTCACTTAACCAATCTTTAGCATCCCTAATTCATAATATCCCTTTAACTTGTATTTTGCTGAAATGCAAATTAGTTGCTCTCTGACCTTGTATACACATGCAATCGATTGTTTGTTCCCAAACCCAGGTACAACAATTTGTAGTATAGATGCATATTATTAAACTTCATGTTTTTGTCAATTCAGGCTGGATTCATGCAGTGCTTACATCTCAGGACTGTATGGCTTTTGGAGGAAACTTTTTGCACAACCTCAATATTGGCATGCAGCTCAGGTTAGTGTTCTGACTACAACTTACCTCCACAAGAAGGACATCTTTTAATATATGAGTTGTACCTCCCTGGTCCGGTACCATTGGGACCCGACTGATCCCGAATCAGGGAATTTGCCAGACAGAGAGAGTTCAATGTGGGAGTGGGGGAAGGTCTACTTCCTCTCTGGCTCCACTGCTACCCAGGGCTCTGCTATCCTCACAGTGCCAACAGGGAGGGAGCTCTTATTTCCCCCTCCCCACCCCCCCAATCTTAGCTGTTGCCTGGGGCTCCACACTCTTGCTGAGGTTCTGCTATCCCTGTATTGGCTGGAGATTCCTGTGCTGTCCAGAGCCCCACTACTCCCCTCCCCCCCAGGCCCCATGGAGGGGGCTCCATTCTCTCCCCGGTAGCTATATTGCCACCCGGGGCTCTATGTTCTTGCTGGTGGCTAGGGACACTGCTTTCTCCCCAGAGACTCTGCTGCCTCCCGGGGGCTCTGCTATTGCTTGGTGGCTCCACATTTCCCACAGCGTCCTACTGCTGCCTGGGGCTTCACTCTCCACCCAGAAGCTTTGCTGCTTCCTGGTGGGCTCTGCACTGCACTGCTCTGCTGTCACTTGGGGGGTTCTGTGCTCCTCTAAGCAGTTGCGCATTCACCCCAGCATCCTTGCTATGGTGCAGGGGCTCCATGCTCATTTCCAGCAGCTATGTTGCTGCCCTCCCCTCAGTGACAGGAAGCTCCACTTCCCGTCCCCTCCCCCCCACCCGAAACTGGGGGCTCTGCATTCGTCTTGACAGCTCTGCTGCCCCTGGGGCTCTGACTTGGTCCCCTAGTTTGGCTGTACTCCTGGCCACCTCAGCCTGATGGATTCTCCTAATGAGTGCTCTCACAGAGTCACCCAACGATGCCGGACCAGGGAAGCCCAGATTATAGAGTTTCAACCTGTACTAGGTAGTTTTCATTATGCTTGTTAAATGGGATTAAGTAGAAACAGGCTCAAGTTATGGACAGTAGTGGTTTTTTTTGTAGTTTGATAGTGCCAGAAGCAGACTTTGATCCACAGTGAAACCTTTGTTATCCATCACTCTGTTAATCAGAAAACTTTGTTAACCGGCATTGCCCCCAGCCACAATACTGTCACATCTTCAGGCACATAGGCCTGGCTTGGTTTACCATAATTGGCTTAACAATTTTTTTATTTGAGAAGTACTAATTATATTTAACTCAAAATAGAAATGTGAGACAAACTGCCTCACGCTACAAAACTACCAATATTAAAAACTTGAATTTTACTATTATTGTCCATTGGTTTTTCCTACTTTGATAGGACCCTCAGATAACCGGAATGCCCTAATCCCCGAGTGTGCCGGGTAACACAGGTTTTACTGTATTTCACTTCCAAAAGAATCTTCTCCAAAGCAGAATGAGTAGTCTGCACAAATTTAATTACACACTAAAATCAGATAAGCTCTATTTTGTAGATTAGTGCAAATGGGAGATACTAAAACAAGTTAAGCTTGGATGTGAAATTTTGAACTGAAAGGAGCAACCTTCAGTCAGGATTGCTGTTGGGACAGCTATATTATTTATTGTCCAAAATGTGGAATTGTCGTCTAAGCATACTGTTTTTGTTTATTACAGTGGAATCCCAATAAAATTCCATGTGTTAAAATATTACACATTAAGTTTGTACTATAGTTTTATGAAATCCAACTTTATTTTTGAAAGTGCTTGAGAGGGACCAAATAAGATCATAGTTCAGTCTTTTTCAAATGTGGTTTTTATTGGGGTTTGACTATGTGGTACTTGATTGGTTCTGTTTATGACAACCTGTTGATTTTATTTTCTGAACATTGTATGAGTTGGATATTGTATTGGTTAATTCTAAAATGCACACAGACCGTAACGTTGTAAATTATTTGTTTAGGTGTTATGAAATGGAGAAAAGGCTAAAAACCCCAGATCTTTTCAAATTTCCTTTCTTTGAAGCCATCTGTTGGTTTGTGGCCAAAAATTTACTGGAAACTTTAAAAGGTAACTAATTTCATGCTTCAATAAGATTTTGAGTATCTTGGCTTTTTTTCTTTCACCTTGGGAAGGTCATGATCTCCATCTCATGATAAACATCCTATCTGCAGGAAGTCTGGTGAGTTGGCCAAGATCATCTCTGTATGGCTTGAGCTCTAACTGGGAATAGATTGTATAATTTCTTTATCAAAATGTGTTCTTTGGGTTTTTTCAAACTTGTTAGGTGCTTGCTTATGTCCATTCAACGTAGGTATGTGTGCTTGCCACATGCACTGGTAACAAAATATTTTCCCTTAGCAGTACCTGTAGAGGGAGCCAGTTCAGGCTCCCCCTGGAATGGTGCACACAGGCTGCACTGCAAAGGGCTCCTCTGGTTCCCTTCACCCTCAGTTCCTTCTTGCCACCAGTGATGATGCTTGGAACTTTCTCATCTCAGCATTAGCTGTTGCTCCCTTTTCTAGTTGATTGGACTCTGTTTTCCCTGTAAATAGTTCTCATTGTTAGTTTACTGTTACAAGTTAGTGTAATTGACTAATCAGGATTTTACATCCCTACATCTAGTATGGCATTCAGCTGGAGGCTTGCCAGCTCCTGGAAACAGGGAATCTCTTAGCCGACAAGTTGAGCAAGCAGTTTTCTTCTCACAAATGGGCTCTCTGTTCACAGGTTGCTGACATGCTCTTCTGGAATTGGGATGTGAATGGATAACTAGTTAATCAGTAATAGAAATGGTTAATCAGTTAACTGGTAAACATCACCCTTACCAGGTGATGTTTACTAGTAACTGGTTTCTAATAGCAGTGTGGGATCCCACGTAATCAGTTAAACATAACATTTAACCGGTTAACTGATTAAATAGGATTTTACATCCCTATTCTGGAACTGAAGCACTCTGCCAGCGCTGGTTTACCATTCTAATGAGTCTCGTGGTGCTTGCTCTATGGCCCTTGCCTCTCCACACAGACCTACTTTCTCAGGGCAGTGTCTGCCTGCTTCAGCCAGGCTGCTTCTGAGTCTGCCTCACAGCATGGCTGCTCCATGGCTGAATGTGTAAGAACAGTCCTGCTCCCCAGTGGTTCAAACCCCAGATCTTTTCAAATTTCCTTTCTTTGAAGCCATCTGTTGGTTTGTGGCCAAAAATTTACTGGAAACTTTAAAAGGTAACTAATTTCATGCTTCAATAAGATTTTGAGTATCTTGGCTTTTTTTCTTTCACCTTGGGAAGGTCATGATCTCCATCTCATGATAAACATCCTATCTGCAGGAAGTCTGGTGAGTTGGCCAAGATCATCTCTGTATGGCTTGAGCTCTAACTGGGAATAGATTGTATAATTTCTTTATCAAAATGTGTTCTTTGGGTTTTTTCAAACTTGTTAGGTGCTTGCTTATGTCCATTCAACGTAGGTATGTGTGCTTGCCACATGCACTGGTAACAAAATATTTTCCCTTAGCAGTACCTGTAGAGGGAGCCAGTTCAGGCTCCCCCTGGAATGGTGCACACAGGCTGCACTGCAAAGGGCTCCTCTGGTTCCCTTCACCCTCAGTTCCTTCTTGCCACCAGTGATGATGCTTGGAACTTTCTCATCTCAGCATTAGCTGTTGCTCCCTTTTCTAGTTGATTGGACTCTGTTTTCCCTGTAAATAGTTCTCATTGTTAGTTTACTGTTACAAGTTAGTGTAATTGACTAATCAGGATTTTACATCCCTACATCTAGTATGGCATTCAGCTGGAGGCTTGCCAGCTCCTGGAAACAGGGAATCTCTTAGCCGACAAGTTGAGCAAGCAGTTTTCTTCTCACAAATGGGCTCTCTGTTCACAGGTTGCTGACATGCTCTTCTGGAATTGGGATGTGAATGGATAACTAGTTAATCAGTAATAGAAATGGTTAATCAGTTAACTGGTAAACATCACCCTTACCAGGTGATGTTTACTAGTAACTGGTTTCTAATAGCAGTGTGGGATCCCACGTAATCAGTTAAACATAACATTTAACCGGTTAACTGATTAAATAGGATTTTACATCCCTATTCTGGAACTGAAGCACTCTGCCAGCGCTGGTTTACCATTCTAATGAGTCTCGTGGTGCTTGCTCTATGGCCCTTGCCTCTCCACACAGACCTACTTTCTCAGGGCAGTGTCTGCCTGCTTCAGCCAGGCTGCTTCTGAGTCTGCCTCACAGCATGGCTGCTCCATGGCTGAATGTGTAAGAACAGTCCTGCTCCCCAGTGGTTCGACTATGTGGTACTTGATTGGTTCTGTTTATGACAACCTGTTGATTTTATTTTCTGAACATTGTATGAGTTGGATATTGTATTGGTTAATTCTAAAATGCACACAGACCGTAACGTTGTAAATTATTTGTTTAGGTGTTATGAAATGGAGAAAAGGCTAAAAACCCCAGATCTTTTCAAATTTCCTTTCTTTGAAGCCATCTGTTGGTTTGTGGCCAAAAATTTACTGGAAACTTTAAAAGGTAACTAATTTCATGCTTCAATAAGATTTTGAGTATCTTGGCTTTTTTTCTTTCACCTTGGGAAGGTCATGATCTCCATCTCATGATAAACATCCTATCTGCAGGAAGTCTGGTGAGTTGGCCAAGATCATCTCTGTATGGCTTGAGCTCTAACTGGGAATAGATTGTATAATTTCTTTATCAAAATGTGTTCTTTGGGTTTTTTCAAACTTGTTAGGTGCTTGCTTATGTCCATTCAACGTAGGTATGTGTGCTTGCCACATGCACTGGTAACAAAATATTTTCCCTTAGCAGTACCTGTAGAGGGAGCCAGTTCAGGCTCCCCCTGGAATGGTGCACACAGGCTGCACTGCAAAGGGCTCCTCTGGTTCCCTTCACCCTCAGTTCCTTCTTGCCACCAGTGATGATGCTTGGAACTTTCTCATCTCAGCATTAGCTGTTGCTCCCTTTTCTAGTTGATTGGACTCTGTTTTCCCTGTAAATAGTTCTCATTGTTAGTTTACTGTTACAAGTTAGTGTAATTGACTAATCAGGATTTTACATCCCTACATCTAGTATGGCATTCAGCTGGAGGCTTGCCAGCTCCTGGAAACAGGGAATCTCTTAGCCGACAAGTTGAGCAAGCAGTTTTCTTCTCACAAATGGGCTCTCTGTTCACAGGTTGCTGACATGCTCTTCTGGAATTGGGATGTGAATGGATAACTAGTTAATCAGTAATAGAAATGGTTAATCAGTTAACTGGTAAACATCACCCTTACCAGGTGATGTTTACTAGTAACTGGTTTCTAATAGCAGTGTGGGATCCCACGTAATCAGTTAAACATAACATTTAACCGGTTAACTGATTAAATAGGATTTTACATCCCTATTCTGGAACTGAAGCACTCTGCCAGCGCTGGTTTACCATTCTAATGAGTCTCGTGGTGCTTGCTCTATGGCCCTTGCCTCTCCACACAGACCTACTTTCTCAGGGCAGTGTCTGCCTGCTTCAGCCAGGCTGCTTCTGAGTCTGCCTCACAGCATGGCTGCTCCATGGCTGAATGTGTAAGAACAGTCCTGCTCCCC